CACATGTGCGCAAGCACATGCACGCATCCAATCGGAAAAAATGTCAGAGAGCATTAATTTTTTCTTATGCTTTGTTTCTGTTCCTAGTCATGTTAAAGTTTCAGTTCTTCAGGTTGGGGATTATTTCCATGGCTTTGTTACAGTAAAGATTATTCAAAGAAAGCTATTCACCAGTGGCTCATGCCTATAATCTTAGCTACTCAGGAGGCTGAGATCCAAAGATCATGGTTTGAAGCTAGTCTGGGGAAGGAAAGTCCTTGAGACACTTAACAACCAAAGAACCAGAAGTAGAGCTGTGGCTCAAGTGGTAAAGTGCTAGCTCGCCTTGAGCAAAAAGCTCAGGAAAAGCACTCAGGCCCTTAGTTCAAAACCTGGGGCTAGCATGCAAACATGCATGTATGCATGCGTGTGCACACACACATACACAGAGAATTATCAAGGCAAAAACAAGAAGACTTTGCTTTCTTGTCCTTTTTTGAAAGCCATACTCATTAGGGAAGGGCTTAGGCCTGTGTTGGTGTCCTTTGTCACCATCACCCAGCATCTGTCACAGAGGAGGGGTTCAGGGGAGGTCATATTTGATTGCTAGGTAGCCATTCATCACTCCAGGAAGTTTATGGTAACCTTAATACTTTGGCTTTATGGATAGTCAGGAATCTTTCATACCTTTGAAGACACAGATGCTTATAGAAAGTCAGGGCTTGACTTTTTTCCCCATGCAGCTGTCAGGTAAGAACCTCCAAGAGTACTATCTTCCCAGGGGCCCAGAACCTTACCCAACTCCAAAGTGCATTTGGAAAGCCTTCTTGGGTTGGCATGGCAAAGTGTGGGATAGCTGATGTGTCTTTGAGTGCACTCACATGTGCACATGCACACTCGCCTGAGTACACAAGGGAACTGTGAGGCAGCCCTCCATGTTTTTTATAAATTATCTCTTTCTTCTTGTTGCCCTTGTGGTTTGTAGGGTAGGCCAGAGTGCCTCTAACTTGGGCACATGGCCCAGATATGCTGGCTTTCAGTGGCTTATTGTTTCCTGCTCCTGTGTGCATGGACAAAGGACCAGGGCTGGCACAGCTGCCTTCTTGGGGACTATTGTTTGTCTTAGCAGCAGCAATAGGAGCAGTAGTAGTAGCAGCAGCAAAGCCTGAAGCGGTACATTCTGCTCTGGACAAAGCAGCCATTCTGTCTTGAAGCAGTAGGCCTCAGGGTGGGGGTGGTTAGAGTCTGCCTGAATATCTGTGGATGCTCTGAGGATGACAGCAAGAGGGGGATGTACTTCTTCCAGGCAAGTTGTGGGGAAGGGGGGACCCTCAGTGGTATCCTATCACAAACCACAGTGACAGGTGGGATTCATTAGCAGTTCTTCTTGTGGCCAGGGTGTGGATATTGCTTTCTTCCTTTCTCTGTCCTGTACACCTACAAGGAAAACACTTTTCTTCCAAGTGGCCCTGGACAGTAGATGAAGGAAATGGAGAAGGGGTCCAGTTTGGTATAGGTTAATCAAAACATGAGCTAGCTAGTGAGTCATTGGGCTAGTCTCAACTTGATCCTGGGGTCCTGGATCACCCTTCAGCTGGAAAGTGGAGAAGCCATGTTCCAGGGGCCATTTACCCAGATATATGTCTAAGGCTCATGTAGTGCTCTGTTTTTTATTTCCCTGCTCCACTGTCAACCTCTGTTAAAAGACATACATTAATTTAACTTCACCTAGATGTATGGCCCTTTTGGTATATAACTAATACATTTAACTTCAATTTGCCATATCTATTGAAGACAAGGGGCAGGATCCTATATTCTGTTCATGAGAATTAAATGAGATACAATAACTGTAGGCTTATAGCATATGTTCAGTAAACCTTTCCCTTAAGGACCCAGGGTGGCTGAGTATGTGCAGTTCATGCTACCCTGTCTGCCATTGAAGAACCTGAGAAAGGATTGAGTTCCATGCTGGCTAGATGTGCTTGGAGTATCTTAATACCTCAGAGGAACAAATATGCACTTTTTCCTTGTATGGGACAACTCTGGAGTGGCCTGCTTCTAGAATTTCAGGGGAGTTGGTCTCGAACCTCAGATCTGCACAGTTTCTTTCTTCTCTCTTGGTTACTGAAATAATTGAGGCAAAGACTAAGTAAATGTCTCATTGGGCTCTAACAGTTCCAGTGTCCTCATATCTCCTCTGTACCTTTGTTCCTGATTAGGTACCTAGAGAACCTTTTTGCCCTAAGAGATTATTCTTTAGTGGACAAGTTTTTAGGTACTATCAGAGAGCCTTTTGAATGCCATCAATGCCTACTCAGTGGCTATTACTGCTAGCTTTTCACTAATATCTAGGCAGGGGATAGATACCTCTTGACAGGAGCTGTTGCCTTTAAGAGACCCAGAAATCCCTAGCAAGAACTAGATGCCTGACATGACCTCTGCAGATCTTCCCTCCCCTTCCTCCAGTGTCCTTGTAATCAGACTCCAAAATACACAGAACAAGAGAGCTCTGATGAATGATGAGGTAGGCGGCTTTTCTGCGCAGCCTTCTGTCTGCTTGAAACAATCCTCCCGTGCTCAATTTCAGTTCAGGTGAGGTTATGTTGGGTTGGCTGGCATTGGAGGTTGGCAAGGGGTGTGGGGATGAAGAGGGCGTACTACACTTAACAGATCAGCCGAGATTATCCACAAAGGAGCAAAGACGTGCTATACAATGATACCTGAAGGATCAGAAACACGAAAGATGAGGATGAATTATCAACACCTAGCTATTCTAAGGCAAAACCAAGTATACCTTTAGTTATCCTTGCTTTAAGGACTGGTTGCAAACCTTTTGGCATCATTGCCTCGTTCTTAGAATTGCCTCTGAATTATCTGCAACACAGATTAAAAAAAAAAAACCCTAGACACCTCCTTCTTCCTCACCTGCCACTGTCATGCATTTCATTAGCACAGACAGAAAACTTTGCCATGACTTTACATTTAGGAAATGGATTTGTAAGGAAAGGCAGAATATAGATGCTCCTTTCCCCCCAAGCATACTAATGCTTGTATGGAAAACACTTGCAGGGAAAAAGGATAAAAGAAATCGTTCCATTTTGACACAGTTGTGGATTGGGACATTTCGTCAGTAGGATACACACTGTAGGCCTTCTCTGAGCTGGAAAGCAGTCTAATGTTGGCAGGCTGCTTCCTACAAGCGCCAGGTCTCCTGTCAGTAAAACATTAAATGTTGCATTCAAGGCAGGTATGTTTGCATCTGGAGCTGCCATTGCTGTTCCATAGTCCCATAGGGATGGTGTTTGCTAGGGGTGGGCACAGGATAACTAACCAGAAATCTGCCAGGCTGGAGCTTAACCAGAAACACTTCTACCTCTGACAGAATAGAGGCTCTGGAACATCTATGAAGACGAAACAACTGCTTTGAGTGGTATTTGATAGTGAAAAAGATCTCTTTTTTTTCCAAGTTAACTGAGTATTTGTGCATTTTAGTTTCTGGGGATCAGACTGAGAGCCTCATGAATGCTAGACAAGAACTCCCATCACTGAGCTACACCCCAGCCTCCAAGTCAACTCTCCTTCCTCCCTCCCTGCCTAATACTGAGGTTTAAAACTCACGACCTAGCCTAGCACTGGTGGCTCATGCTTGTAATCCTAGCTACTCAGGAGGCTGAGATCTGAGGATCAAGGTTCAAAGCTAGCCCGGGCAGGAAAGTCCGTGAGACTCTTATCTCCAATAAACCACCAGAAAACCGGACGTTGTGCTATGGCTCAAGTGGTAGAGTGCTTGCCTTGAGCTGAAGAGCTCAGGGACAGCACCCAGGCCCAGACAGAGTTCAAGCCCCATGACCACCACCACCACCACCACCAACAACAACAACAAAACTTCGTGACCTCATGCTTGTTAGGCAGGCACTCCACTACGACACACTTCTAGCCCTCTTTGGTACTGCTTATTTTTGAGATAAAGGTCTCACTTCCTGCTCAGGTTCACTTGAGCCAGGATCTGTCCATTTTAGGCTTCCTCTAGTAGCTAGAATAACAAATGTGCACTTCTCCACCCAGCTCTTGGGTGAGAAGGGGTATCTCAAACTTTCCTGCCTCAACTGGCCTTGAATCTGGATCCTACTAGTCTTAGCTTCCTGAATAGCTAGGATTACAGGTGTGAGTCACTGGTACTTGGCACCAAGTCAACTTCTTTTTTTTTTTTGGGTCCGGTTGTGGGGCCTGAACTCTGGGCCTGGGCGCTGTCCCTCAGCTCTTCAGCTCAAGGCTAGCACTCTACCACTTGAGCCATAGCGCCACTTCCGGCTTTTTTGCTTATGTGGTGCTGAGGAATCGAACCCAGGGCCTCATGCATGCAAGGCACGCGCTCTACCACTGAGCCATCTTCCCAGCCCCCCAAGTCAACTTCATAAAGAATAGTTTATATTTTGTCACGTTGGAAATTATGAAATCAGATTGATTTGGAATGATTTATTTTGTTCTACCATCAAACTTTGAATGAGTCCCTTTCTACCTTTTTAGAAAATCCTGATCCTTACCATAATTTATGAGGATTCTAAAACCATTTTGAAATTGAGGTTTATTTGGGTTTGAATTACAGCTGACCACTTATTGCTTGACTTTCAGATTCCATATTCTCATCTTTAAAATGGTGATAAAGAAGTTCCTACCACTTTTTTTTTTTTTCTTTTGGTCCAGTCGTGGGGCCTGAATTCTGGGCCTGGACGCTGTCCCTCAGCTCTTCAGCTCAAGGCTGGCGCTCTACCACTTGAGCCACAGAGCCACTTCCGGCTTTTTTCTTTTTGCTTATGTGATGCTGAGGAATCGAACCCAGGATCTCATGCATGCAAGGCAAGCACTCTACTGAGTCACCTTCCCAGCCCATAGGCTTTTAAATTAAGGGCTTTGAATCCGTCAAGGGATAGGGACAGGTAAATGGAAGGTGGTGAATGTCTGAATGTGTGAGGTTTGTTTAAGGCTGTCCATGACTAACATGTCCCCTTGTTTTCTTTCAGAGATCCGGGCTCAGCTCACAGAGCAGATGAAGTGCCTGGACCAGCAGTGTGAGCTCCGGGTGCAGCTGCTACAAGACCTGCAGGACTTCTTCCGGAAGAAGGCAGAGATTGAAATGGACTATTCCCGAAACCTGGAGAAGCTGGCTGAGCGCTTTCTGGCCAAGACTCGCAGCACCAAGGACCAGCAATTTAAGTAGGAACTCTGGCTGTTGCTTTGAAGAGACCTTGAGAGTGGGGTGAGGGGTAGGGGAGGCAAAGATACCACTTGATCTAGTTGGATTTATGAACTCATGACTTCAAATTAAGTGAAAGCCCTCAAGGACTTTTCTTTCTCTGTATCAGACTTATGGGCAGTAGTACATCTTGGAGAGATCAGAATAGATGTGAGCCAGGCATGGGTTTAAAGGCTTTACATATAGGTTTGCACAAATAACTCCATATGTTGGTTGTAATTATTCCTAATTTATAAATGGGGGAAAAGAAAGAGGTTAAGAAAAGCTGGCTTTAGTTTCTATACTTTTAACCACATACCAAACTATCTTTAACCAGAAGTAACTAATGTAGTCATACATCTGAATCCCTGCCTAAGCAATTACTAAGGCTTATTCCTTCTCACTTACAGTATTTTACATATCCAGCTCTTTCACTCTGTAACCATTGCCCTTATCCTACCTTAGATCATTATATTTTTTTTTTCCTGAATGATTACAATATAGTATACCTTGCTGGTCTTCTAAAGTAGAGGTTTTCAACCTTGAATGCACCTCAAAATTCTCTGTATAACTTCACAAATATAGAAATCTGGGGCCTGCTCCAGAACAATTAAATGAGAATCTGGAATAGTGTGGTTTAGGTAACAGGATTTTATAGATGCTTTCTATTCTGGGAAGAGCCAATACTCAGGACCATAGTAAACAGCCTCTCCCCATTCTAGCCTGCTTGGTCCAGCAAATTCAGATTTAGTCTTTCAGTATGAGACTTGAGTTCAAACCCCAGGACTGAAGAAAAGAAAAAAGGAAAAGACTTAGTTAGTCTTTCTGAAACACACTGAGGATTGGGCAGTTTCTCTGTGCAAAACTTTTAGTGATTTCACATTTTGCATGTTTTTGACCTGAAAGTTGTCAGCTACTAGCACCTGCGTCATCTGAGTTTTTAGAAATGCAGAACCTCGGGCTCCACCCAGACATCCTCTAGCAAAATCCCTGGGTAATCTGTGGGTTTGCTGAAATCTTCTCTGTTCACAAAAGTTCACACCCCTTGGCTTGGTGTCAAGCCCCTCTACATCTGGCCTTGGCTTGCTTTCCAACCTTGCTTCTTGGTTCCAGGGTACTTTACCTAACTAGAGCTATCAGCTGTAGGTGTCCTATAAGTGAGCTTATGAACTCATATGTCACATCTCTGTGTATCTAAGACCAAACCAAAGCTTTGGGGTCTATCTCAGTTGCTCCCTATTCTCAGAAGTGTTCCTGATTCTCCCAGAAGAAAGAATGGTCTCTGTCTACTGAATTCTCACCATGATTTGTTTTTCTTTTGGGACATTCAGCATGGTCTTTTAAAATTTTTTTCTTTCCTGAATGGACCATAGAAGTTTATTTGATTTATCTCCTAGTATATGTGGTTGACAGTAGATGTTCAGTAAATACTGTGTAATGAGTAAATGAATGAATCAACCTAAGAATAAATGCCAAGTGTATCCTATTTCCCTGATTTTCTAGTTTTGTTTATTCTTCTAGTAATACAGGAAAGAGATACAGTAATTCTCTACAAGTCAGCTCTGAGTAGTGAACCTAGAAGTTAAGACTGAGAATGTGTGACATACTCAACACTGGCCAAGATGAGAATTTCCTCCAGATGTTTTATCTTCAGAGTCCCTTATCTTTCCCAAGTCCTAGATAAAAGAATCATCTGATAATGAAATGTTATTTTAGTATGTGATAAATGAAGACTTGGTGGGGGTGGGGGAAGAATCATTTGCTTTAGAAAATGATTTAAAGTTGCATTTATTCTGTTGGTACATTCCTCCTAACTTAAAAATAGAATTTAAGTTTTAGTGCTGTATCTTATTCTCAGTTAAGGGCATACTTATTAAAAATTAAGGCAGATGTGCTAATTTCTAAATTATCTGAATTGTGATTCAGATCACATATGAGGAACAGGATTATTTTCCTCAAGCCTGGAAAAATTTATTTCCTTTCGGATAAAGTTGTACCTAGTCTGATTTTTTTTTTCTCACATGACCAGTGAGTATTGAGAGCCAGCTCTGTGCCCAGTACTACACAAGGTATTGGAAGATAAGATTTTTTTTATATCTATGGAGGCACCATATCTGGTTAGAGAAGAAATATTTTTGAATATAGGAAGCAAATTGAAGATAAAGTAGTAATCTCATTAAGTTTTTATTGGTGTTATTTGGAATAGAGATCTGATAAGAAGTCAGATATAAAGTATCATTTAAATAGATAAAGCTTTGTGGCGGGATCTGAAGTTTAAGTAGGACTTAGGCTAGACTTCAATGGTAGATTTGTGTTGGAGAGAGAACTGCATGTGCAGATAGGAGAAGGTAGAAGTGTGAGGGGACAAGGGATAGTAGCAGTTCATGTAGGATCTAGTATTGTTCAAGGGAAAGTTTTTATATATTTATCCAGTTAAGATGTTAAGATCATACACATTCTTTGAGTTCCTTCATTGTACCTTAAGATATAGCAAAGAGTAAGCTCTGACTGCCCCTTCCACATGGCACTTTAGTGAAGAAATTAGTGTTATACAAATCTATTAGATATGTAATTTAAAGTTGGAGTAAGTATTGTAGAAGGAAAGGACAAGATGGTGTAAAATCCTAGGGGGACGTCTGTACTTTATGAATGGCTTATTCCAATAGCTTCCTGTCTGATCTTATTCTGTACTTATTTACTTATGTACTTACTTAACCACCCACTATGGATATTAAGATGAGTTTTGGAACTTTTGGCTAATAGGGAAAAGATTCATGTATAATGTGAAAGAGTTTTAATAGAGATAGGAAAACACTGATACTTTCAAAGCAGAGGAAAATAAAGTTAAAAATAAAAGGGAGCTAGAGTGTCTAACATGGCAACTTGGAAGAATTGTGGTCTCTGTTATAGAGTAGTGATGTTGCAGGAAGAAGACTAGTTTTGAATAGTGATCCTACTTTGGACAGGTTGGATTTGGGGGAATATAAGGCCTCAGGCATCCTGGGTGACATGTATTGCTGAGCTTACAGGTTCTGACTGGGAACAGCTAGGAAAATCTTGTAAATGTGATTGTGGAATCTTCCTTGTCAATGGATATAAATGAACTTAGAGGAGAGGAAAACAACAAAGCACTAAGTCCAGGACCCCTGCCCTGGGAAGCACCAGTGTCAGGGATAAAAATCTTAACACAGGAAGAAGTAAAATTACCAAAAAGATAGAGAAGGAGAGTGTTAGCCGTATTCCCTGCCAGGCAGGTAAAATAATAGAAGATAAGACAGCCTGCCAATATCAGTCTCAATGGAACTAGAAATGTTTCATGTAGAATTGGTTGATAAAAGTCAATCCTGGCAAGTTGTTATTGATAATCTCATGTTTAATGCATTAGAAGAGATACAAAGAAGATTAAAATGAGCCCCAAATGCAAAAGCTTTCTGTTTGTTAGAAAATATGCATATGTGAAACATATGCAATTACTGGTTTTTATAGGTCAAAGATGGTCACATTATGACAGATTCACGTGGTGCATCCTAATATAAGAAGAGATGAGGCAGACATACAAATGTACTAGATATCAGCAAGGGGAAGAGAGTTCCAGGCAAATTTCTACTTTTATACATCATTTATTCCTAAAAACATAAACAAAAGTCAAACAGTTGAGAGCCCGATTATAGTTTTATACGGAATAGGTAGATTCTATTAATAATGTATGTGACTTTTTGTATTATTTTTCACCTGATGTATTTTAACATTTTGTACCTTGTCTTTCATTTTATTCTTTTCTCCACAATTAAACCTATGACCTATCTGCTTCTGTCCAATGAATATCTGAAGCGTGCACATGGCTGATTTCTTCCCCTTTCTTACTAATAGAGGATGAGATCTCTACTTCCAGGGCAGCACAAGTAACAACACTCTCATTCTTCTTTTTTCCCCTCATTTTTGTGTTGCAAAAGATAATCCAAAGCTCAGATGTTTGCACACTGTGAGTATTGTTGCACAGAGATAACCATACCACTGAAACTGAGCTGGCCATTTGGCAGGAGGCACCACTAGACAGAGCCTAGAAACATTAGTTATCAATGGCATAGAGAAGACATTTTAGGTATGTCTGATTTGTTTTAGATATAAGTCTTACTGTCATAATAGACCTTAAGGAATACCAAGTTACACAAGATAGATAAGAATCTGTCTGTCACCTAAGAGTCTGAACATCAGCAATCTAGGACTGTGTCACTCCTTATTTGTTACCTGGGGTATTGTCTTGGTCTGCATGACTCCAAATGGCTCACTGCCACTATGCCCCCATTCTAGCCAATGGGAAAGGCAACAGGGTAAGGGGCAAATGTGTCTTTCTTTTTTAAAGTTGCGGTCTGGAGGTGGTATTTACATGCCCTTCAATTCATACCCACTTAGCCAGAACTTAGTCATATGATCATAAGGGAGCCTAGGAAATGAATTTGTTATTCTGGGTGATGAGAAAGTAGAGTTTTTGTTCATCTGGAATGGGAGACAATCAGCAGCATCTGCCACATCGTCTATGTGTGGTAAGAAAGGACAGGTATATGAAAGAACATGAGCTACCCATCCATACAAAGTACCACATGTGTCCACAGAAAAGGGATTTGTTCTGGTTGGAGGACTGATGAGGGCTTTACAGAGGTGAAGCTCAATGGCTAGAAAAAATGGCAGAGTGAATCCAGACAATAAAAGAAGTTACAGAAAGATGATAAAGAGATAGGGCAAGGAAGTATCTTAGATAGAGAAAACAATAAAGACCGGGGGATCCAGGGAATAGGGGGACAAGACTGGTAGATAATTCATTTGCTTTGTTGAAGAACAAGGATTATAAATATGATAGTGAAATATGCCAGGAAAAGTTGGTAGGGCCAGAAGATTACAAAGATTTATGAATACCAGGTGACAGGGTCTGGGCTCTATTCTGTAAGCATAGGGGAGCCATTGATAATTTTTTGAGCAACGA